GTCGTCCCATTCTCATTGCACTCACACTTTCCAATGAATACGTATCCGTTGTTTCCCAAACACTCGATTGTAAAACAATGTGTAAACCACAAAATTTCTTCAGTTTTGTCAGTTGTTCTGCCATCACATATCAGTTATCAAGCAGCTTGATTACTCATCTCCCCACTGTAATGAACAAATAGTTGTTTCACAGATTTCTGAAATTCAATAACCTCGAAGGTGTTGTTTATTACGCTTTGTTAGATTTTCTTTAACACATTCACCACACTTTACATAAGGCCTAATTATTGACAGACATTGAACGTTGCACTTCAGCGTTTGGTTCATTCTACTGGCGAGTGTAAATGAATAGCTCGAATGGTCAACAAATCTGGTTGTCGAAAACCTCACCACCTGGAATAATGACCATCTCCATCAAATTGGTAGCTGACACAAATATATACATTACACAATTCATACAATGCTTTGAAACTGCTCGATATTCTGTCATCGCGGCAACTCATTAGTAATATCATCAAGCCCATTCGAGATTCAACCACTGAATGCATCATCAAGATTCGTATCAGTGAAGGCACTAAGAAGAGCTGTCATACCTAACCATTATCCTTTTCAATGACAAAATGCATTATTGTAATAGAACTTCGAACTACTTCAGTAGGTTACATTGTGATTCCTCGCTCATTTTGAGTCTTTGTTATGTGCTCATCCAGAGAGCGAGCGGTTCGTTAACATTGGAACTCAGAGACTCATAAATGTCGGGTGGATTCAAGTGAGATCAGTCGAATATATTGTCTCAAATGAATGAGCTTGCTCACATTACACCATATCATTCGTGGAATCGTTGCCAATTCATGGTTCACAATGTTGTCCAAACAGTTTGCATTTCGCGTAACGAACGAAATTCCGCTGATTGATCCAAATGCAGAGAAAGAACGAACCGAAAATCATTCGATTAGCAACCATGAGATGAGATCACCCCTCAACAGTGTCGTTCACAGGTCTTGTTGTTTTATGGACTCTTAAGTGTCAAACTATAGTTACCTGATCACTACGTACATTCGTTTTCATTCAGCCAGAAGGCTTCAAGAGCTTTGGTTGTCGAGCCAGTCAACTAACTTCCCTTCACTGTTTTGGTAGCAACCGTCACATTGTCCAACAATAACCACAGGTGTCACGGTGTCTGACTTGACTGGGTCGCTTCTGAAGCACTATCTAAGAACAGTAAATCCCCAAGCCCTGTTACATCCTGCCTTAAGGCGCAGACTGATAAGAACTGGAAAAGCTCTTTGTAATGGCGACTGAGAGTGCCTGCCAAGACTCTCTTTTAAATTCTACCTCAAGCCACTCTGTATTCTTACAGGTTTATTCAGCAATGGACGATATCGGCCTTGACAACCCTCTATATAACACATAGCACCAGCATGACGACCCCCTGATCAATTGACATTCCGAACAATGCGAAAAACAAAAGCCTTTTCTTTCTCCATTGATCACCTGTCCATAGCGATTTTCATTATCAATGGTGAGCTAACGAATACATACATTTCTGACATAAATTTAATTCATTCGAAATCAAAGATTCACTAATTTACTAAAAAAACACATCAGCATCTAAAGATCATTACATATTATTGATAAATGCGTCTACATTTTATGTAGATTAACATGACGTTTACATTGTAAAATCAAGCGCCTAACATCGTCATGGAATGTGTGTAACTGATTTTTCCATCAATAATATTTTCATTTCCTCTTTGTTCAGTGAAAGCGGAACCAACGGAAACAGAATATTCAGCTAGTAAGTTGACGTTTAATTCAGTTATTTACCGCCCATAAAATAATTTACGAGAAGGCGTCTCGTAAACCTTTTGATGTTTTCTAATCTAAGGTAACATTATCTGAACAATATACCTAGTCTAACATAGAACACACTCCATATCACCCAGAATAAAAATAGGTGATTGTAAATGCAATCAGTTGTTAACCGTTTTTCACTACATTGTTTTTTCATTGAATGCACGATTTTTTATCATATTTTAAGCCATATCAGATAATGAAATCACCTTACATTCTCTGTGTTGAAGTTTGATCATGTAGTATCTGGATAGTCATTTTGGGTATTACGATTAACACTTCTAACTAAAAACTAAGTTTCATCAACAAAATTAGTAATTCTCAATCAAAATAACATTTTTTCTGTGCTCATTATCATCTGAATGTGGTTTGAATCGTGTAGTTATGAATCGATAACAAGGTTCTATAAAACGATCGAACAATTATATACATGCATCTTCATTGAAACCAGTTTTGTGTTATTTTATGTGAAGTGAGAATGATATCTTTGTTACATGAATGCATAATATAGCAACTTTTATTACGTTCGTTGTTACATGTTTACATTTAGACACTGAGAACGAACGAAATGTCAATGTTCAAACAAGTAGGTCTAGAAAACTATTTTAATAATCTAATAAAACTTAAGAAATGAGGGTTTGTTCAGTGAATTATAAACATCAACGAAGAGTCACCGCGACCAAGCACATTACATTTTGGTATTCTTATAAATTCTAAACACTGTGGCTTGTTATGTATGATCTAAGTTCTTACATACTTCATTCCAAAAAATATTTGTACACTATTACATATTTGAATACTTGTTAAGCAACCAAATATTAGAAAACAGAGAAGTTATTGACTAATTCACTTGTTTGATAATCTTTCTAAACATTAAATGAGGCTGTAAATTCAACAGATTTTTTTTGCAAAAGTGCTTTTAACTGCTTAGTGATGAATGAAACTTCTTGGTCATATTCTCACTAACACACTTTGAACATGATCTACTACTTTGTATGAACTGTATGACAGAATACCGTAAAACTTCTGGTAATAAATTATTGCTTCGTATTTACGACCAATCAAATGGCAAGGACAAGAATATTTCGTCAATTCGCTTGAAATTTTCTTACTGTTAAATTGTTCCCATCAGTTGTAGTGAACGAGAACACATGTGGGGACAAGCACATGTATTGAAACACAAAACTACAGAACATCTAAGTAAAATTTGAGAATCATACAGCAAATACTTCATTTTCAAGATGTCAGTCAATCGTCTCAGATTTCAATGTTCTTTCTTTGCCAAATCAATCATTCTCTGTTCTCGTTCTCTTCGCTCTGATCTTTTCAACATTCTGTCTCTAGTCATTCCACTTTTGATCGATTATTCATACTACTTATATCTGTGGACATCAGTAGCACACATCACACAGTCAGATAATAAAGTAATACTAATTGTTTATTTAATTCAAAATGATTCAATGTTTGTAGTTAGTTTGAACCTACAAATTTAGAAACTTATAGAACTTTGCAGAACAAAGTAGTTTTATTCTGCAACATGGGAAAGAATGCGACAAAATAAAATAAGTGTTTCCACAAGCTCAAGAATACAAAACAACATATATGAAATTCACCGAATCAACGAATTCTCTAAATTCTTTTTCATCTTCGATAACGAAACATAGTAAAATTTAATACAGTAACTGACAGATGAAAAACACTTTATGTTTTCTTGATAGATATGTTACTATAGTTTAACGTTTCTAAATTCTAAACTTGAAAAGGTTTTATGAAGTTGTGCACATTGTCGATGGCACTTTCAACGAGTTTTGTAAATAGTTTGGATTAGGTTTTCCATGGTAACTCTCAATAAAAGCAAAATTAACAAGTACATTCAAACTCATTTCTGTGGGCATGCAACTATAATTTGTTTCCATATATTTTCAGATTCGACCAACACTGGTAAGATCATTTCCTTTTTACTATTTAGGGTAATAACTTCATCATTTTATCTTTAAAATTTGAAGACTAATTTCGCTCTCTGAAAGTTAGAAAATACTGTCGCAATGGAACTACACGGTTTACTGAACTTTTAAACCAATATTTTATTTCTCTTAACGTCATATAACTTCTGGTCTTCATGATTGAAGAGCCTGATTTATCACGATACACTGTACAATTTCATTCGATCTCCAGGTAAAGACTAAGTATCTTTATTCTAAATGAACATTTCTTATGAAATCGATGTGTAAACAATTAGGTAAGCCATAAAATACCTAAGGATATGCCATTAGGATTTGATCGAATTTCTAAATATCATCAGAAGCCATCTAGTACGTAAAATCACACTACTAAATACACATGAACTATCAATGTACTGGCCTCAGCAGATATAATGAGCTTCTTTATTGCGACCAAAAAACACAGCTTAAATATGAGACAATTCAATAGGCACAATGGATAAGCAAAAACCGGGAAATTGTAAATAGAATCTGCATTGAACTCAGTTATATCATATGATAATAATTAACACAAGAGCTGTCATATCTGCTAATCAAGTAGAAGTGAAAGGCAGATATTAACAAAGACAACATTAAATTTATTTAGTATGATTCAAACAGAAATGTTAGACCCGCTCAATGCAACGATCTAAAAGGCTTGAAGTAGAGTTCAAACGCAATTTTGAGCATTTAACACACATAGAACGGCTGAATGACGCGCCGATTGAACACAATGACTGGCCGGGCAAATAGTTTACTGAAGACACTTTGTTACAGAAAAGAAAAAAACGATTGGGATCAGAAGGCATATACACTGATGATGAATTTATTTTATAAATTTAAAATTTTGTCCAGTTAAAATAACAAGCCAGAATCAAAAGTCACTCACTACAATTGGTAACCATGATCGCGAATTCAACAATAACAGATGGAACGTGTTATTGATTCTAAAAACGAGATTATGTTCTTGATAGTGATTTCAGCATAATGGTGAAGGGTCGTTATAATCGTGCTGTCAATAATGTCTTTTCAAATTAGATGTTGTATGACCGAGAAACGGATACTCGTAGCGTTAAATTGATAAAAAGTCAAAAACACTTTAGGATAATGGGACAAATTTCAAGTCTTAAAGTAAGGCTTCTAAAGTTATAAGCTATGTAAGAGAATGAAGGTCAAATTTAAACAAACGATAGTGATCATCATGAATAAGACATTCATAAAGGTAAATATTATTTATAATTTTACATCATTTAAAATAAGGAAAGGAAAGTCAGTGGCTAAACAATTGACTCAAAAGCAAAAGCTTTACAAGAGACAACCTATTAGTCATCAATAAATCACTTGAATGATGTTCGAAAATCTCAGGCGTAAGATTGAAATTTAGAATATTCTATGCATATTCAAAAACCATCACTATGAATATTATACGAAAAGAAGATATTTTAGATGCTGTTATCTACTCATATTCAGAGGAAACGATGAACAAGATGTAAAAGATGAATAATTAACTAGATGAAAGATTCAACATTCGAATTATCTAACTGCAAATAAAATAAAACGTACGTAAGATTTAAAAAAGGTAAAGATCTCAACATATGCACGTACAAAGTAAAATATGAAAGGAATATTAAACTTTCAACGAAACGAGGCCCACAGATCAATGAGCATAGACTAAAAGAAATATGGTGTGCACTCACTGGCCGACTCAGTGTATTCTCATTATGCATGAATTGCGTGTCACACTCTCACAATACTGCACAACACTGTCCATTGGTCACCACACATTACGATCAATGGAAAATCTTGAGAAGCCGCTTCAATCTGCTCATCAATAATTAGTCCGATTGACACACTTATTACAAACAGCATTGTAACCTCATATCAATAACTCGTCAGTGTATGTCGAATACCAATTATGTAACACATTTAATCCCATGTCACTTTCATTCACTATCACTATTTCAGATGTAAAGAAAGTCTCAGGAGTTGAAGGTAAGCACATTTCATGTTTGATTGCTCTGACACACAAACTGCAACAAACAACCTCTCACACAATTTCCTATTATTTCACACAACTCACGTCAACTGTCTCCTCTTCATCCATGTGATGATATGCTTCGAAGTCTGATATTCTGCATGTGAATGATAGTGGAAATACCAAGTGATTTCGAGGCAATTTGAAAGTGTTTTGCCAACTCCAACCCTGCCAATTTCAGTGTGCCTGATATGAAGTAGCAAGATAGTGGAAATACCATTGATTTCGGGCCATTCATTGGTTTTTGCCGAATTCACTTTCGTGTTTCGCTGTTAATATAATATGATCCGCGTCACGCCAGTCGCGATTTTTTCTATTTGTTGTTTTCACTCTGAAGTCTTCATCATGTTCCATCGCTTTTCTCTTTCTTTTATTCTTACTAACTCCTAATTAACTGACAACAGATTTATTCGTGACTTATTTATTATTTTCACATTTAGATGAAGATGACAGTTCACTCCTATATGTGTTCAAAGGTAGACCACTATATTCTCGTTTTCACGGTTTACAAAATCAGTTTTTTCAAGAACGTTTATTAGTAGTTCAAGTATTCTGTGGAAAATAATGAATTTGAAGGTCCTCCAATCCACTCATAATTACCCTCAATGATTGAGAGGTCAATAGAAGATTAAGCAGCAGTATTGTTAACAAGATAGTAGTTTCACTTGCCACATTCTCACCTCGCAATTCAATTGAATGTCCTTCATTTCATGAAATCATTTTGAAGATAGTCACCTACTCCTGGAAATTTTAAATTAATTCCACATCTCAAATTAAAGTTTTATAACTGACTACATCGTCTTCATCTCGGCTTACTATAAATATTTCAGCAGCGATGAGGAGACCTGGTGCAGAAGGTTAGTAAACATTAAATATACTTTAATTGTCTTAAAAGCTAACACGTCCAAAATTAACAGTGTGCATCTCCATTTTAGTGTCCAAAACGTCCGTGTCATTCAGCGAACACTCTCGAACGTGAATAGTCGTCCCATTCTCATTGCACTCACACTTTCCAATGAATACGTATCCGTTGTTACCCAAACACTCGATTGTAAAACAATGTGTAAACCACAAAATTTCTTCAGTTTTGTCAGTTGTTCTGCCATCACATATCAGTTATCAAGCAGCTTGATTACTCATCTCCCCACTGTAATGAACAAATAGTTGTTTCACAGATTTCTGAAATTCAATAACCTCGAAGGTGTTGTTTATTACGCTTTGTTAGATTTTGTTTAACACATTCACCACACTTTACATAAGGCCTAATTATTGACAGACATTGAACGTTGCACTTCAGCGTTTGGTTCATTCTACTGGCGAGTGTAAATGAATAGCTCGAATGGTCAACAAATCTGGTTGTCGAAAACCTCACCACCTGGAATAATGACCATCTCCATCAAATTGGTAGCTGACACAAATATATACATTACACAATTCATACAATGCTTTGAAACTGCTCGATATTCTGTCATCGCGGCAACTCATTAGTAATATCATCAAGCCCATTCGAGATTCAACCACTGAATGCATCATCAAGATTCGTATCAGTGAAGGCACTAAGAAGAGCTGTCATACCTAACCATTATCCTTTTCAATGACAAAATGCATTATTGTAATAGAACTTCGAACTACTTCAGTAGGTTACATTGTGATTCCTCGCTCATTTTGAGTCTTTGTTATGTGCTCATCCAGAGAGCGAGCGGTTCGTTAACATTGGAACTCAGAGACTCATAAATGTCGGGTGGATTCAAGTGAGATCAGTCGAATATATTGTCTCAAATGAATGAGCTTGCTCACATTACACCATATCATTCGTGGAATCGTTGCCAATTCATGGTTCACAATGTTGTCCAAACAGTTTGCATTTCGCGTAACGAACGAAATTCCGCTGATTGATCCAAATGCAGAGAAAGAACGAACCGAAAATCATTCGATTAGCAACCATGAGATGAGATCACCCCTCAACAGTGTCGTTCACAGGTCTTGTTGTTTTATGGACTCTTAAGTGTCAAACTATAGTTACCTGATCACTACGTACATTCGTTTTCGTTCAGCCAGAAGGCTTCAAGAGCTTTGGTTGTCGAGCCAGTCAACTAACTTCCCTTCACTGTTTTGGTAGCAACCGTCGCATTGTCCAACAATAACCACAGGTGTCACGGTGTCTGACTTGACTGGGTCGCTTCTGAAGCACTATCTAAGAACAGTAAATCCCCAAGCCCTGTTACATCCTGCCTTAAGGCGCAGACGGATAAGAACTGGAAAAGCTCTTTGTAATAGCGACTGAGAGTGCCTGCCAAGACTCTCTTTTAAATTCTACCTCAAGCCACTCTGTATTCTTACAGGTTTATTCAGCAATGGACGATATCGGCCTTGACAACCCTCTATATAACACATAGCACCAGCATGACGACCCCCTGATCAATTGACATTCCGAACAATGCGAAAAACAAAAGCCTTTTCTTTCTCCATTGATCACCTGTTCATAGCCGCTGGTGTCACAAATCGGAAACACGCTTTAGTCCTGTAGTTTTCTATGTATCCCGCACATGATGGTTTGATACAGATTAAACCAGAGGGCAGCTACCGAATAGTAGAGACTGTGATGTCTAAAGTTTTTTGCTACTTCCTCCACTTTACTCAATCATGGTCAGTAATGCTACTGCACTTGGGGAAAGAAATACAGTTAACGCGACTGACGTGTGTTCCTGACTGATCTCAGTTGATCCTCTGACTGATCCAGGCTCCTTAATCTGCAACTGACTGACCAAACCAAAACCTTGATCTATTTTAACCGTCATTGTGCTTCCATGTGATTCGAGTGCCCTATATACTAATATCTATAAGGCCTGTTTAAAATGTTTCGTGTCAGTTTACATTTATAACTAGTAGCTAAAAGAAACAGCGGATCATTCTGTGATAAATCTAATTAATTTCTTGTCGTTTACTTTAAGCTGAACAGCGAAGACAACGAAGAAAGGAAGCAGGAGGTTGGTAAATCTATTATTTCACTAATACGTTAATTACTACACAAAGAGAATGCCACTCAGTCAATTTAACGACGCGTAACAATATAGGTCATGAAGAGGGCAAATTCAAACAAAAAAATAAAATAAGATAAGTATGAAAACGTACAAATAGGAAAAAATGACGTCAACGTTGAGAGATATTCAAAAACAAAAATTGGTCAACAGAACGCACAAACGAAAATTCATGGGCAATAAAAGAGAGAAAACATAAATTATTCGACAATCCAGATCGAATATACAAAGAAAAGCGTGATTCATCGTTTCCAGCATTTCAAGCTCAATCGTCTCCATGAGTGTGCGTCTGCCAGTATCTCCCAAACATCGTGTTTTCTGTGAGTGGTAAACTCAGTGTATTCTCATTATGCATGAATTGCGTGTCACACTCTCACAATACTGCACAACACTGTCCATTGGTCACCACACATTACGATCAATGGAAAATCTTGAGAAGCCGCTTCAATCTGCTCATCAATAATTAGTCCGATTGACACACTTATTACAAACAGCATTGTAACCTCATATCAATAACTCGTCAGTGTATGTCGAATACCAATTATGTAACACATTTAATCCCATGTCACTTTCATTCACTATCACTATTTCAGATGTAAAGAAAGTCTCAGGAGTTGAAGGTAAGCACATTTCATGTTTGATTGCTCTGACACACAAACTGCAACAAGCAACCTCTCATACAACTTCCTATTATTTCACACAACTCACGTCAACTGTCTCCTCTTCATCCATGTGATGATATGCTTCGAAGTCTGATATTCTGCATGTGAATGATAGTGGAAATACCAAGTGATTTCGAGGCAATTTGAAAGTGTTTTGACAACTCCAACCCTGCCAATTTCAGTGTGCCTGATGTGAAAGAGGAGGAAATTAAATATCTCACTCGAAAATCGACATCAGATATTCGAAGAGTGGCGCGTATCCGCTTCTCCAGTTATTCAAGCTCAATCTTCTCCATGAGTGTGCGTCTGCCAGTATCTCCCAAACATCGTGTTTTCTGTGAGTGGTAAACTCAGTGTATTCTCATTATGCATGAATTGCGTGTCACACTCTCACAATACTGCACAACACTGTCCATTGGTCACCACACATTACGATCAATGGAAAATCTTGAGAAGCCGCTTCAATCTGCTCATCAATAATTAGTCCGATTGACACACTTATTACAAACAGTATTGTAACCTCATATCAATAACTCGTCATTGTATATCGAATGCCAATTATGTAACACATTTAATCCCATGTCACTTTCATTCACTATCACTATTTCAGATGTAAAGAAAGTCTCAGGAGTTGAAGGTAAGCACATTTCATGTTTGATTGCTCTGACAAACAAACTGCAACAAGCAACCTCTCACACAACTTCCTATTATTTCACACAACTCACGTCAACTGTCTCCTCTTCATCCATGTGATGATATGCTTCGAAGTCTGATATTCCGCATTGTCCAACAATAACCTCAGGTGTCACGGTGTCTGACTTGACTAGGTCGCTTCTGAAGCACTATCTAAGAACAGTAAATCCCCAAGCCCTGTTACATCCTGCCTTAAGGCGCAGACGGATAAGAACTGGAAAAGCTCTTTGTAATAGCGACTGAGAGTGTCTGCCAAGACTCTCTTTTAAATTCTACCTCAAGCCACTCTGTATTCTTACAGGTTTATTCAGCAATGGACGATATCGGCCTTGACAACCCTCTATATAACACATAGCACCAGCATGACGACCCCCTGATCAATTGACATTCCGAACAATGCGAAAAACAAAAGCCTTTTCTTTCTCCATTGATCACCTGTCCATAGCGATTTTCATTATCAATGGTGAGCTAACGAATACATACATTTCTGACATAAATTTAATTCATTCGAAATCAAAGATTCACTAATTTACTAAAAAAACACATCAGCATCTAAAGATCATTACATATTATTGATAAATGCGTCTACATTTTATGTAGATTAACATGACGTTTACATTGTAAAATCAAGCGCCTAACATCGTCATGGAATGTGTGTAACTGATTTTTCCATCAATAATATTTTCATTTCCTCTTTGTTCAGTGAAAGCGGAACCAACGGAAACAGAATATTCAGCTAGTAAGTTGACGTTTAATTCAGTTATTTACCGCCCATAAAATAATTTACGAGAAGGCGTCTCGTAAACCTTTTGATGTTTTCTAATCTAAGGTAACATTATCTGAACAATATACCTAGTCTAACATAGAACACACTCCATATCACCCAGAATAAAAATAGGTGATTGTAAATGCAATCAGTTGTTAACCGTTTTTCACTACATTGTTTTTTCATTGAATGCACGATTTTTTATCATATTTTAAGCCATATCAGATAATGAAATCACCTTACATTCTCTGTGTTGAAGTTTGATCATGTAGTATCTGGATAGTCATTTTGGGTATTACGATTAACACTTCTAACTAAAAACTAAGTTTCATCAACAAAATTAGTAATTCTCAATCAAAATAACATTTTTTCTGTGCTCATTATCATCTGAATGTGGTTTGAATCGTGTAGTTATGAATCGATAACAAGGTTCTATAAAACGATCGAACAATTATATACATGCATCTTCATTGAAACCAGTTCTGTGTTATTTTATGTGAAGTGAGAATGATATCTTTGTTACATGAATGCATAATATAGCAACTTTTATTACGTTCGTTGTTACATGTTTACATTTAGACACTGAGAACGAACGAAATGTCAATGTTCAAACAAGTAGGTCTAGAAAACTATTTTAATAATCTAATAAAACTTAAGAAATGAGGGTTTGTTCAGTGAATTATAAACATCAACGAAGAGTCACCGCGACCAAGCACATTACATTTTGGTATTCTTATAAATTCTAAACACTGTGGCTTGTTATGTATGATCTAAGTTCTTACATACTTCATTCCAAAAAATATTTGTACACTATTACATATTTCAATACTTGTTAAGCAACCAAATATTAGAAAACAGAGAAGTTATTGACTAATTCACTTGTTTGATAATCTTTCTAAACATTAAATGAGGCTGTAAATTCAACAGATTTTTTTTGCAAAAGTGCTTTTAACTGCTTAGTGATGAATGAAACTTCTTGGTCATATTCTCACTAACACACTTTGAACATGATCTACTACTTTGTATGAACTGTATGACAGAATACCGTAAAACTTCTGGTAATAAATTATTGTTTCGTATTTACGACCAATCAAATGGCAAGGACAAGAATATTTCATGTATTGAAACACAAAACTACAGAACATCTAAGTAAAATTTGAGAATCATACAGCAAATACTTCATTTTCAAGATGTCAGTCAATCGTCTCAGATTTCAATGTTCTTTCTTTGCCAAATCAATCATTCTCTGTTCTCGTTCTCTTCGCTCTGATCTTTTCAACATTCTGTCTCTAGTCATTCCACTTTTGATCGATTATTCATACTACTTATATCTGTGGACATCAGTAGCACACATCACACAGTCAGATAATAAAGTAATACTAATTGTTTATTTAATTCAAAATGATTCAATGTTTGTAGTTAGTTTGAACCTACAAATTTAGAAACTTATAGAACTTTGCAGAACAAAGTAGTTTTATTCTGCAACATGGGAAAGAATGCGACAAAATAAAATAAGTGTTTCCACAAGCTCAAGAATACAAAACAACATATATGAAATTCACCGAATCAACGAATTCTCTAAATTCTTTTTCATCTTCGATAACGAAACATAGTAAAATTTAATACAGTAACTGACAGATGAAAAACACTTTATGTTTTCTTGATAGATATGTTACTATAGTTTAACGTTTCTAAATTCTAAACTTGAAAAGGTTTTATGAAGTTGTGCACATTGTCGATGGCACTTTCAACGAGCTTTGTAAATAGTTTGGATTAGGTTTTCCATGGTAACTCTCAATAAAAGCAAAATTAACAAGTACATTCAAACTCATTTCTGTGGGCATGCAACTATAATTTGTTTCCATATATTTTCAGATTCGACCAACACTGGTAAGATCATTTCCTTTTTACTATTTAGGGTAATAACTTCATCATTTTATCTTTAAAATTTGAAGACTAATTTCGCTCTCTGAAAGTTAGAAAATACTGTCGCAATGGAACTACACGGTTTACTGAACTTTTAAACCAATATTTTATTTCTCTTAACGTCATATAACTTCTGGTCTTCATGATTGAAGAGCCTGATTTATCACGATACACTGTACAATTTCATTCGATCTCCAGGTAAAGACTAAGTATCTTTATTCTAAATGAACATTTCTTATGAAATCGATGTGTAAACAATTAGGTAAGCCATAAAATACCTAAGGATATGCCATTAGGATTTGATCGAATTTCTAAATATCATCAGAAGCCATCTAGTACGTAAAATCACACTACTAAATACACATGAACTATCAATGTACTGGCCTCAGCAGATATAATGAGCTTCTTTATTGCGACCAAAAAACACAGCTTAAATATGAGACAATTCAATAGGCACAATGGATAAGCAAAAACCGGGAAATTGTAAATAGAATCTGCATTGAACTCAGTTATATCATATGATAATAATTAACACAAGAGCTGTCATATCTGCTAATCAAGTAGAAGTGAAAGGCAGATATTAACAAAGACAACATTAAATTTATTTAGTATGATTCAAACAGAAATGTTAGACCCGCTCAATGCAACGATCTAAAAGGCTTGAAGTAGAGTTCAAACGCAATTTTGAGCATTTAACACACATAGAACGGCTGAATGACGCGCCGATTGAACACAATGACTGGCCGGGCAAATAGTTTACTGAAGACACTTTGTTACAGAAAAGAAAAAAACGATTGGGATCAGAAGGCATATACACTGATGATGAATTTATTTTATAAATTTAAAATTTTGTCCAGTTAAAATAACAAGCCAGAATCAAAAGTCACTCACTACAATTGGTAACCATGATCGCGAATTCAACAATAACAGATGGAACGTGTTATTGATTCTAAAAACGAGATTATGTTCTTGATAGTGATTTCAGCATAATGGTGAAGGGTCGTTATAATCGTGCTGTCAATAATGTCTTTTCAAATTAGATGTTGTATGACCGAGAAACGGATACTCGTAGCGTTAAATTGATAAAAAGTCAAAAACACTTTAGGATAATGGGACAAATTTCAAGTCTTAAAGTAAGGCTTCTAAAGTTATAAGCTATGTAAGAGAATGAAGGTCAAATTTAAACAAACGATAGTGATCATCATGAATAAGACATTCATAAAGGTAAATATTATTTATAATTTTACATCATTTAAAATAAGGAAAGGAAAGTCAGTGGCTAAACAATTGACTCAAAAGCAAAAGCTTTACAAGAGACAACCTATTAGTCATCAATAAATCACTTGAATGATGTTCGAAAATCTCAGGCGTAAGATTGAAATTTAGAATATTCTATGCATATTCAAAAACCATCACTATGAATATTATACGAAAAGAAGATATTTTAGATGCTGTTATCTACTCATATTCAGAGGAAACGATGAACAAGATGTAAAAGATGAATAATTAACTAGATGAAAGATTCAACATTCGAATTATCTAACTGCAAATAAAATAAAACGTACGTAAGATTTAAAAAAGGTAAAGATCTCAACATATGCACGTACAAAGTAAAATATGAAAGGAATATTAAACTTTCAACGAAACGAGGCCCACAGATCAATGAGCATAGACTAAAAGAAATATGGTGTGCACTCACTGGCCGACTCAGTGTATTCTCATTATGCATGAATTGCGTGTCACACTCTCACAATACTGCACAACACTGTCCATTGGTCACCACACATTACGATCAATGGAAAATCTTGAGAAGCCGCTTCAATCTGCTCATCAATAATTAGTCCGATTGACACACTTATTACAAACAGCATTGTAACCTCATATCAATAACTCGTCAGTGTATGTCGAATACCAATTATGCAACACATTTAATCCCATGTCACTTTCATTCACTATCACTATTTCAGATGTAAAGAAAGTCTCAGGAGTTGAAGGTAAGCACATTTCATGTTTGATTGCTCTGACACACAAACTGCAACAAGCAACCTCTCATACAACTTCCTATTATTTCACACAACTCACGTCAACTGTCTCCTCTTCATCCATGTGATGATATGCTTCGAAGTCTGATATTCTGCATGTGAATGATAGTGGAAATACCAAGTGATTTCGAGGCAATTTGAAAGTGTTTTGCCAACTCCAACCCTGCCAATTTCAGTGTGCCTGATATGAAGTAGCAAGATAGTGGAAATACCATTGATTTCGGGCCATTCATTGGTTTTTGCCGAATTCACTTTCGTGTTTCGCTGTTAATATAATATGATCCGCGTCACGCCAGTCGCGATTTTTTCTATTTGTTGTTTTCACTCTGAAGTCTTCATTATGTTCCATCGCTTTTCTCTTTCTTTTATTCTTACTAACTCCTAATTAACTGACAACAGATTTATTCGTGACTTATTTATTATTTTCACATTTAGATGAAGATGACAGTTCACTCCTATATGTGTTCAAAGGTAGACCACTATATTCTCGTTTTCACGGTTTACAAAATCAGTTTTTTCAAGAACGTTTATTAGTAGTTCAAGTATTCTGTGCGAAAATTTGCAGAACGCTAGCATATTAGGGCGGTATATTGAATTCATTGAGCATGTTTGACGTGTAATACTGCTTTCAACTGAAACATTTTGAATGAACCTGCGATACAGTAAGGTTTCCATCATCACACCGACTAACAACCTAACCCACTAATACAGATCCATGTGATTTGTTTCCGAGCATGATATTCGACCACATGTACAAATTTCAAAACCTCGAAGCCCCAATCACGAAAAGGGAGCGTCGCTTTTTCATGTTGTACAGCATTTTCAAACAAACTTCAATTTTCACGCAATATCACTCTACCTTTATTACACCTACCACAGTGCCTATCAACTGAACCACTTCCCTCATGATTCCGTTCTATGTTAACGACCTTGCAAGCGCAATGAGGCACTTCCGAGCATTGACCAGTGACTATAAATTAAAACCAAGAAAATGGATTGGACAGCATTAATTTTGCTCTTTTCACATCATTGCCTCACTGGAGCCTCGACAGCACATTCGAGAACAGGACTATTGTATGTATCAGTCGACTATGGTAGCATGACACCGATACTCGTTGGGTATTCATTCCTGGTTGCTTTTGTCTCTCCATTAGTCGTTTAACCATCGTCATTATACCTCAATGTTTAAGTAGCATAGACATTCAGTTGGATTGGAAACGTCTTCAGTTGGTCTACGAAATGACTTGCGATGTGATTGACATGAGTGTGGTAGGTATGTGGAAAATAATGAATTTGAAGGTCCTCCAATCCACTCATAATTACCCTCAATGATTGAGAGGTCAATAGAAGATTAAGCAGCAGTATTGTTAACAAGATAGTAGTTTCACTTGCCACATTCTCACCTCGCAATTCAATTGAATGTCCTTCATTTCATGAAATCATTTTGAAGATAGTCACCTACTCCTGGAAATTTTAAATTAATTCCACATCTCAAATTAAAGTTTTATAACTGACTACATCGTCTTCATCTCGGCTTACTATAAATATTTCAGCAGCGATGAGGAGACCTGGTGCAGAAGGTTAGTAAACATTAAATATACTTTAATTGTCTTAAAAGCTAACACGTCCAAAATTAACAGTGTGCATCTCCATTTTAGTGTCCAAAACGTCCGTGTCATTCAGCGAACACTCTCGAACGTGAATAGTCGTCCCATTCTCATTGCACTCACACTTTCCAATGAATACGTATCCGTTGTTACCCAAACACTCGATTGTAAAACAATGTGTAAACCACAAAATTTCTTCAGTTTTGTCAGTTGTTCTGCCATCACATATCAGTTATCAAGCAGCTTGATTACTCATCTCCCCACTGTAATGAACAAATAGTTGTTTCACAGATTTCTGAAATTCAATAACCTCGAAGGTGTTGTTTATTACGCTTTGTTAGATTTTGTTTAACACATTCACCACACTTTACATAAGGCCTAATTATTGACAGACATTGAACGTTGCACTTCAGCGTTTGGTTCATTCTACTGGCGAGTGTAAATGAATAGCTCGAATGGTCAACAAATCTGGTTGTCGAAAACCTCACCACCTGGAATAATGACCATCTCCATCAAATTGGTAGCTGACACAAATATATACATTACACAATTCATACAATGCTTTGAAACTGCTCGATATTCTGTCATCGCGGCAACTCATTAGTAATATCATCAAGCCCATTCGAGATTCAACCACTGAATGCATCATCAAGATTCGTATCAGTGAAGGCACTAAGAAGAGCTGTCATACCTAACCATTATCCTTTTCAATGACAAAATGCATTATTGTAATAGAACTTCGAACTACTTCAGTAGGTTACATTGTGATTCCTCGCTCATTTTGAGTCTTTGTTATGTGCTCATCCAGAGAGCGAGCGGTTCGTTAACATTGGAACTCAGAGACTCATAAATGTCGGGTGGATTCAAGTGAGATCAGTCGAATATATTGTCTCAAATGAATGAGCTTGCTCACATTACACCATATCATTCGTGGAATCGTTGCCAATTCATGGTTCACAATGTTGTCCAAACAGTTTGCATTTCGCGTAACGAACGAAATTCCGCTGATTGATCCAAATGCAGAGAAAGAACGAACCGAAAATCATTCGATTAGCAACCATGAGATGAGATCACCCCTCAACAGTGTCGTTCACAGGTCTTGTTGTTTTATGGACTCTTAAGTGTCAAACTATAGTTACCTGATCACTACGTACATTCGTTTTCGTTCAGCCAGAAGGCTTCAAGAGCTTTGGTTGTCGAGCCAGTCAACTAACTTCCCTTCACTGTTTTGGTAGCAACCGTCGCATTGTCCAACAATAACCTCAGGTGTCACGGTGTCTGACTTGACTGGGTCGCTTCTGAAGCACTATCTAAGAACAGTAAATCCCCAAGCCCTGTTACATCCTGCCTTAAGGCGCAGACGGATAAGAACTGGAAAAGCTCTTTGTAATAGCGACTGAGAGTGTCTGCCAAGACTCTCTTTTAAATTCTACCTCAAGCCACTCTGTATTCTTACAGGTTTATTCAGCAATGGACGATATCGGCCTTGACAACCCTCTATATAACACATAGCACCAGCATGACGACCCCCTGATCAATTGACATTCCGAACAATGCGAAAAACAAAAGCCTTTTCTTTCTCCATTGATCACCTGTTCATAGCCGCTGGTGTCACAAATCGGAAACACGCTTTAGTCCTGTAGTTTTCTATGTATCCCGCACATGATGGTTTGATACAGATTAAACCAGAGGGCAGCTACCGAATAGTAGAGACTGTGATGTCTAAAGTTTTTTGCTACTTCCTCCACTTTACTCAATCATGGTCAGTAATGCTACTGCACTTGGGGAAAGAAATACAGTTAACGCGACTGACGTGTGTTCCTGACTGATCTCAGTTGATCCTCTGACTGATCCAGGCTCCTTAATCTGCAACTGACTGACCAAACCAAAACCTTGATCTATTTTAACCGTCATTGTGCTTCCATGTGATTCGAGTGCCCTATATACTAATATCTATAAGGCCTGTTTAAAATGTTTCGTGTCAGTTTACATTTATAACTAGTAGCTAAAAGAAACAGCGGATCATTCTGTGATAAATCTAATTAATTTCTTGTCGTTTACTTTAAGCTGAACAGCGAAGACAACGAAGAAAGGAAGCAGGAGGTTGGTAAATCTATTATTTCACTAATACGTTAATTACTACACAAAGAGAATGCCACTCAGTCAATTTAACGACGCGTAACAATATAGGTCATGAAGAGGGCAAATTCAAACAAAAAAATAAAATAAGATAAGTATGAAAACGTACAAATAGGAAAAAATGACGTCAACGTTGAGAGATATTCAAAAACAAAAATTGGTCAACAGAACGCACAAACGAAAATTCATGGGCAATAAAAGAGAGAAAACATAAATTATTCGACAATCCAGATCGAATATACAAAGAAAAGCGTGATTCATCGTTTCCAGCATTTCAAGCTCAATCGTCTCCATGAGTGTGCGTCTGCCAGTATCTCCCAAACATCGTGTTTTCTGTGAGTGGTAAACTCAGTGTATTCTCATTATGCATGAATTGCGTGTCACACTCTCACAATACTGCACAACACTGTCCATTGGTCACCACACATTACGATCAATGGAAAATCTTGAGAAGCCGCTTCAATCTGCTCATCAATAATTAGTCCGATTGACACACTTATTACAAACAGCATTGTAACCTCATATCAATAACTCGTCAGTGTATGTCGAATACCAATTATGTAACACATTTAATCCCATGTCACTTTCATTCACTATCACTATTTCAGATGTAAAGAAAGTCTCAAGAGTTGAAGGTAAGCACATTTCATGTTTGATTGCTCTGACACACAAACTGCAACAAGCAACCTCTCACACAACTTCCTATTATTTCACACAACTCACGTCAACTGTCTCCTCTTCATCCATGTGATGATATGCTTCGAAGTCTGATATTCTGCATGTGAATGATAGTGGAAATACCAAGTGATTTCGAGGCAATTTGAAAGTGTTTTGACAACTCCAACCCTGCCAATTTCAGTGTGCCTGATGTGAAAGAGGAGGAAATTAAATATCTCACTCGAAAATCGACATCAGATATTCGAAGAGTGGCGCGTATCCGCTTCTCCAGTTATTCAAGCTCAATCTTCTCCATGAGTGTGCGTCTGCCAGTATCTCCCAAACATCGTGTTTTCTGTGAGTGGTAAACTCAGTGTATTCTCATTATGCATGAATTGCGTGTCACACTCTCACAATACTGCACAACACTGTCCATTGGTCACCACACATTACGATCAATGGAAAATCTTGAGAAGCCGCTTCAATCTGCTCATCAATAATTAGTCCGATTGACACACTTATTACAAACAGCATTGTAACCTCATATCAATAACTCGTCAGTGTATGTCGAATACCAATTATGTAACACATTTAATCCCATGTCACTTTCATTCACTATCACTATTTCAGATGTAAAGAAAGTCTCAGGAGTTGAAGGTAAGCACATTTCATGTTTGATTGCTCTGACACACAAACTGCAACAAGCAACCTCTCATACAACTTCCTATTATTTCACACAACTCACGTCAACTGTCTCCTCTTCATCCATGTGATGATATGCTTCGAAGTCTGATATTCTGCATGTGAATGATAGTGGAAATACCAAGTGATTTCGAGGCAATTTGAAAGTGTTTTGACAACTCCAACCCTGCCAATTTCAGTGTGCCTGATGTGAAAGAGGAGGAAATTAAATATCTCACTCGAAAATCGACATCAGATATTCGAAGAGTGGCGCGTATCCGCTTCTCCAGTTATTCAAGCTCAATCTTCTCCATGAGTGTGCGTCTGCCAGTATCTCCCAAACATCGTGTTTTCTGTGAGTGGTAAACTCAGTGTATTCTCATTATGCATGAATTGCGTGTCACACTCTCACAATACTGCACAACACTGTCCATTGGTCACCACACATTACGATCAATGGAAAATCTTGAGAAGCCGCTTCAATCTGCTCATCAATAATTAGTCCGATTGACACACTTATTACAAACAGTATTGTAACCTCATATCAATAACTCGTCAGTGTATGTCGAATGCCAATTATGTAACACATTTAATCCCATGTCACTTTCATTCACTATCACTATTTCAGATGTAAAGAAAGTCTCAGGAGTTGAAGGTAAGCACATTTCATGTTTGATTGCTCTGACAAACAAACTGCAACAAGCAACCTCTCACACAACTTCCTATTATTTCACACAACTCACGTCAACTGTCTCCTCTTCATCCATGTGATGATATGCTTCGAAGTCTGATATTCCGCATTGTCCAACAATAACCTCAGGTGTCACGGTGTCTGACTTGACTAGGTCGCTTCTGAAGCACTATCTAAGAACAGTAAATCCCCAAGCCCTGTTACATCCTGCCTTAAGGCGCAGACGGATAAGAACTGGAAAAGCTCTTTGTAATAGCGACTGAGAGTGTCTGCCAAGACTCTCTTTTAAATTCTACCTCAAGCCACTCTGTATTCTTACAGGTTTATTCAGCAATGGACGATATCGGCCTTGACAACCCTCTATATAACACATAGCACCAGCATGACGACCCCCTGATCAATTGACATTCCGAACAATGCGAAAAACAAAAGCCTTTTCTTTCTCCATTGATCACCTGTCCATAGCGATTTTCATTATCAATGGTGAGCTAACGAATACATACATTTCTGACATAAATTTAATTCATTCGAAATCAAAGATTCACTAATTTACTAAAAAAACACATCAGCATCTAAAGATCATTACATATTATTGATAAATGCGTCTACATTTTATGTAGATTAACATGACGTTTACATTGTAAAATCAAGCGCCTAACATCGTCATGGAATGTGTGTAACTGATTTTTCCATCAATAATATTTTCATTTCCTCTTTGTTCAGTGAAAGCGGAACCAACGGAAACAGAATATTCAGCTAGTAAGTTGACGTTTAATTCAGTTATTTACCGCCCATAAAATAATTTACGAGAAGGCGTCTCGTAAACCTTTTGATGTTTTCTAATCTAAGGTAACATTATCTGAACAATATACCTAGTCTAACATAGAACACACTCCATATCACCCAGAATAAAAATAGGTGATTGTAAATGCAATCAGTTGTTAACCGTTTTTCACTACATTGTTTTTTCATTGAATGCACGATTTTTTATCATATTTTAAGCCATATCAGATAATGAAATCACCTTACATTCTCTGTGTTGAAGTTTGATCATGTAGTATCTGGATAGTCATTTTGGGTATTACGATTAACACTTCTAACTAAAAACTAAGTTTCATCAACAAAATTAGTAATTCTCAATCAAAATAACATTTTTTCTGTGCTCATTATCATCTGAATGTGGTTTGAATCGTGTAGTTATGAATCGATAACAAGGTTCTATAAAACGATCGAACAATTATATACATGCATCTTCATTGAAACCAGTTTTGATTGAGTCGTGATGCACATTGGTGATTTCCTTAATGTATGTCCGATTTACTTCCAACGTCTTTTCCTTATTTCCTCTTCAGCTGGAAACTGGTTTGTCCTCTCCCATAAAACGCTGTTGCTGATAGTATCCGGCCAATGGATGTTGAGTATTTTGCGTAGACAACTGTTTATAAATACTTGTACCTTCCTGATGATGGCCGTAGTAGTTCTCCACGTTTCAGCTCCATACAGTAGGACTGTCTTGACGTTCGTATTAAAGATTCTGACCTTGAAATTGGTTGAGAGTTGTTTTGAGTTCCATATGTTCTGCAATTGTAGAAATGCTGCCCTTGCTTTGCCAATCCTTGCCTTTACATCTGCATCCGATCCTCCTTGTTTATCAACGATGCTCCCCAGGTACTTGAATGTTTCCACCTCTTCCAGAGTTTCGCCATCAAGTGTGATTGGGTCGGTGTTCTCCGTGTTGCATTTGAGAATCTTGCTTTTTCCTTTGTGAATGTGGAGGCCTATCGATGCGGAGGCTGCTGCTACATTTGCTGTCTTCATCTGCATTTGTTCATGTGTATGAGAGAGGAGGGCTAGGTCATCTGCGAAGTCCAAATCATCTAATTGATTCTGAGAAGTCCATTGTATTCCGTATTTCCCTTCAGATGTCGAATTCGTCATAATCCAGTCAATCACTAGAAGGAAGAGAAATGGGGAGAGTAGACAGCCTTGTCTGACTCCGGTCCTTACTGGAAATGCATCTGTCAGCTGTCCTCCATGCACCACTTTGCACTGTAATCCATCGTATGAGTTTTGGATAATGTTGACGATCTTCTGAGGAACTCCATAGTGTCGAAGAAGTTTCCACAATGTTCTCCTATCCACGCTGTCAAACGCCTTCTCATAGTCGATGAAGTTGACGTATAGTGATGAGTTCCACTCAACTGATTGTTCAACGATGATCCGTAGTGTCGCAATCTGGTCTGTGCACGACCGATCCTTACGGAATCCAGCCTGATGATCCCTAAGTTCGGCGTCTACTGTGTCTTTCATCCGATTCAGCAGCACTCTGTTGAAAACTTTTCCTGGTACTGATAACAAACTGATGCCTCTGTAGTTCTCACATTGGCTCAGATCTCCTTTCTTTGGTATCTTGATGAGATATCCTTCTTTCCAGTCCGTTGGCACTTGTTCCTCTTCCCAAATCTTTTTGAATAGAAGGTGAAGCATGTTTGCAGTTATTTCAATGTCTGACTTCAGTGCTTCTGCTGGTATATTGTCAGGTCCTGCCGCCTTCCCACTTTTGATTTGTCTGATGGCCATCTTGACTTCTTCGATCGTTGGTGGAGTGACATCTATTGGAAGATCAGTGTGGGCTGCTTCGATGTTCGGTGGATTCGATGGGGCTGGTCTATTCAGCAGTTCCTCAAAGTATTCTGCCCATCTTTTCCTCTGTTCCTGAATCTCAGTGATTGTCTTTCCTTCTTTGTCTTTGACTGGTCTCTCTGGTTTGCTATATCTCCCTGCCAATTTCTTCGTTGTATCATATAGTTGTTTCATATTCCCTTCTCTTGCAGCTTTTTCCGCCGTCGTTGCTAGTTCTCCCATGTATTTCTGCTTGTCGGCTTTAATGCTTTTCTTCACTTCTCTGTTTGCTTCTGCGTAGTCTGCTTGTGCTTTGACTTTCTCTGCTCGTGTTCGGCTGTTGTTAATTGCTAGTTTCTTGTTCTTCCTTTCTTGAAGTTTGTCCAGGGTCCCCATAGAGATCCATTCCTTGTGATGGTGCTTCTTAGGACCAAGAACCTCCTGACACGTTGAAGTTAGTGCTTCTTTTATCCCTTTCCAGTTGTCCTCCAAAGTAGTTTCTTGTTCTTTCAGTAGATCCTGTAGAGCTTGGAACCTGTTGTTGAGAGTTATCTTGAATTCATGGAGTTTGTCAGTATCTCGAAGGAAGGCTGTATTAAACCTTTGTAGTGCTGTTTGTCCAGTTGTCCAGTCTTTCTTTAGCTTCAGTCTCATCTTGGCCACAACCAGGTGGTGATCTGAAGCTATGTCAGCTCCTCTCCGGGTTCTCACATCTTCCATTGATCTTCGGAATTTTTTGTTGATACAGATGTGATCAATCTGGTTCTCTGTGGTGTGGTCCGGTGAGATCCATGTAGCTGTGTGTATGCGTTTGTGTGGGAATATTGTGCCGCCTATAACCAATTTGTTGAAAGCACATAGGTTTGCAAGTCTCTCCCCATTTTCATTTCTCTCTCCTAGTCCATGTCGTCCAATTACATCTTCATATCCTGTGTTGTCCACTCCAACTTTAGCATTTAGATCTCCCATAAGGATGGTGAGGTCCTTTCGTGAGCACTTTGCTATAATTGATTGCAGCCTTTCATAGAACTGATCTTTATCATCGTCGTTGCTATCATTGGTGGGTGCGTAACATTGGATAACGTTCATTGTGATCCCCTCCTTCTTTGTTCTGAATGATGCTTTGATTATCCTGGGTCCATGAGATTCCCATCCCACAAGTGCATTTCGTGCTTCTCTGGACAGCATTAGAGCAACTCCCTGAGTGTGTGGCTCATTTTCCCCTTCGTGACCGGAGTACAGCAGCATCTCTCCTGTACCTAGCCTTTGTTGTCCAGTTTGTGTCCAATGGGTTTCGCTGATTCCGAGTACTGCCAAGTTGTATCTCCTCATTTCCATTGCTATTTGGCTGGTCTTTCCTGTTTCCCACATTGTCCGGACGTTCCATGTACCTATAAAGAGTGTTGCTCTGGTTGTTAGAAGGTGCATCGGTCTCGTGACTTCCGAAGAATTTCGGCTTTTCATCATGAGACGTCATAATTCCTTCAACTCCCAGGGCAGAGTTTAAATGGTTTGAATTATTTTTTCTGGTTAGCGTTTTTTTAGCGAGTTAGCTTTTCTACGGGATGGGGTCGCTAACCCCATGCCCAACCCTCCTCCTTTACCCGGGCTTGGGACCGGCAGTAACTCTAGAAGAGCTACAGGCGGAGTTAAAGCAATATAAATCAACGGTTAATAAAAGTACTCAACTGCTTCTCATGTTGGAGTAGTCACAGTCCTCTTGTAGGTGGAGAGGGCGTATGGTGAAATTATTCATCAAAATGCACGGAACTCATGTAACTGAGTGAAAAAAGGAGTATACAATCAGTAGTTGAGGCACGTCAATTAGCAATGACATTTTAACAGATTATACACAACAGTGAGTAGTATGTTGGATTTACTCTGAATAATTTTTTTCAAATAATTGTTTTCATTATCACGACTGTGAAGACCATGACGTTGTAATGAATCATGTCGAAATCTGTCGGGGCATATTTGAGTGAAAGACAGCTCCCTTAAAACCTTTCAGCTGCTTTTCAGTAACACTATCAGATTTGAATTCATTTACGCTTACAGTATTCGTGAAATTGCACCATATAATTTCACATTTGAAACTATCGTATACGTTACTAGTTTTAATGATGACACGTGTTCATGATAGGATCCTGGAAGTATTTGTTTAATCACAAGTGAATGTGTTTTCCTGTAATGTTGACCTCGACGTGTTGATTATCTAACCTTGCTGTGTGTATGTGTTGGAATTCAAATGATCGGATGAAATTTGTGGTTGTCCACTCAGGAACCCATTTCATTTTGCAGAGGCCATTGAAAATTGGTTGAAGTTACACACATACATCGTCGGAATTCAGCCTAGTGCTCTTGTGGTTAGATGCTCGCTTCTGAGACTGAAGGTTGATTATTTGATCTCCAACTGTCAGTCGACCATGAGAGCTATTCACGCATCTCATGTAAAATGGAAGCAGCTGACTGCCTAATCATTATTGCAAATGATAATCGAACAAATAATAATCCTTGGTGTGAACTAACAAATATGTGTTCTCACTTTTCATTCATGTCTGGTTGACCGACATACATTGAAATTATGTAGTGGATAAATGCGATCTCACTCTGATTGCCTATATTTAATATCTCACCAGGGAGGCAGAGATTAGAAGCCGCACGTAAGTCTTTATTTTATTTCATACATTTGAAGTAAATACACATATGCAATTTTATTGGAAATCGCTCCAGAGTTCCACTCGCATTGATCCTTTCCGCATGACTTTGTTTACGAAGGCTCCACAAAGCTGCTTTCTCCACTTGCATTTTTCTTCTCAACTGAGACGTGAAATCAGATTGATGGAACACTGTTCGAATAATTACAAGTTCAAATAAAATCGCGCCATGTATGTGAACAGGGTTAGTTTGCTTCAGCCCATCGTTAATTTTTGTTCTCATCAAGTCTGTAACACTTTCAAGACTACTTCAACATTTATTGGTGCACTGCAATATAGACGATTTCTCAATATACAGTTTGTTTTCAATAATTGATTGGGTGACACCACTTTGTGAGCTCAGAAAAAGTCCTTTCTGATGTTTCGATCGCCCTACCGACTGATATTTCTTTTATAACACAGGAAAGTGAAAAGTGAGTAAAGTTGTTTCATTTTGCCTTAGGAATTCGAAAAGAAGAGGAAGACAGGCTTGCAGAAAACAGTGAGTATTCCGATGATCTTGTTTATTATTCATTCTCATTTAATGTTCAGCTGGTATTCCGATTTGATTACCTAACATCTATACGTGACAAAAATACTTGGAATGTTCTGTATCAAAATGTGTGTCATGGGTCGTTCCGTTCACATGAACGATGACGTCACTAAAGAAGCAAGTAACACTTCTTTTTTGTTGACGTGCTTTTCTGTGAAATGGTGTTCTTAAAAGTGAATGGACTAACTGTATTTGTTCTCAGGAAATTCCTATTTTAAATTGTATAAATTAGTGAGCTCTTACCGTACTTCCACAAGCCATAAATGGTCGATAATATCAATTTGAAATCTGGTGAATTCTTCTCCTCACTAAACAACGTGCCTAACCCTGGAACTGCACGTCGGTTGACTGATAGGCCGACAGCTTGATTGTGTCTTGGTGACCATTTGTTTTTATGGGGTGTGTGAGTTAAACCTTTGAACTTTCTGAACTTTGGTTCTTGTAAAATTCCGTTCATTAATGCTCACGTTCTCAGTAATTGTCACACACGTGTATTCAACTGGACAGCACAGTGCTTTAGTGGGCAGGTTTACTAGTATCTCCATGTTCTTTTCATTGAAAACCGCTTATGTGATTAGCGTGCGGGTTGCTGTTGATCGCTTAAGAAAATTTCGTGATCCACATTACGTTGATGTGATGAACGGATAAATTGACGCCAACCATCTGATATCAATTCAACACACGAGATAACAGTTATTATTTTGAATTCACGAACATTTGTATACCAAACATCCGTCAACTAAAGCAATATACTTACTTACTTACTTACTTACTTACGCCTGTTACCCCTCGTCGAGTAGCATAGGCCGCTCACCAGCATTCTCCATCCAACTCTGTCCTGAGCCTTCCTTTCCAGTTCTTTCCAGTTGCTATTCATCCTTTTCATATCGGCTTCTATTTCCCGGCGTAGTGTGTTCTTTGGCCTTCCTCTTTTCCGCTTCCCTTCCGGATTCCAAGTTAGGGATTGAGTCGTGATGCACATTGGTGATTTCCTTAATGTATGTCCGATCCACTTCCAACGTCTTTTCCTTATTTCCTCTTCAGCTGGAAGCTGGTTTGTCCTCTCCCATAAAACGCTGTTGCTGATAGTATCCGGCCAATGGATGTTGAGTATTTTGCGTAGACAACTGTTTATAAATACTTGTACCTTCCTGATGATGGCCGTAGTAGTTCTCCACGTTTCAGCTCCATACAGTAGGACTGTCTTGACGTTCGTATTAAAGATTCTGACCTTGAAATTGGTTGAGAGTTGTTTTGAGTTCCATATGTTCTGCAATTGTAGAAATGCTGCCCTTGCTTTGCCAATCCTTGCCTTTACATCTGCATCCGATCCTCCTTGTTTATCAACGATGCTCCCCAGGTACTTGAATGTTTCCACCTCTTCCAGAGTTTCGCCATCAAGTGTGATTGGGTCGGTGTTCTCCGTGTTGCATTTGAGAATCTTGCTTTTTCCTTTGTGAATGTGGAGGCCTATCGATGCGGAGGCTGCTGCTACATTTGCTGTCTTCATCTGCATTTGTTCATGTGTATGAGAGAGGAGGGCTAGGTCATCTGCGAAGTCCAAATCATCTAATTGATTCTGAGAAGTCCATTGTATTCCGTATTTCCCTTCAGATGTCGAATTCGTCATAATCCAGTCAATCACTAGAAGGAAGAGAAATGGGGAGAGTAGACAGCCTTGTCTGACTCCGGTCCTTACTGGAAATGCATCTGTCAGCTGTCCTCCATGCACCACTTTGCACTGTAATCCATCGTATGAGTTTTGGATAATGTTGACGATCTTCTGAGGAACTCCATAGTGTCGAAGAAGTTTCCACAATGTTCTCCTATCCACGCTGTCAAACGCCTTCTCATAGTCGATGAAGTTGACGTATAGTGATGAGTTCCACTCAACTGATTGTTCAACGATGATCCGTAGTGTCGCAATCTGGTCTGTGCACGACCGATCCTTACGGAATCCAGCCTGATGATCCCTAAGTTCGGCGTCTACTGCGTCTTTCATCCGATTCAGCAGCACTCTGTTGAAAACTTTTCCTGGTACTGATAACAAACTGATGCCTCTGTAGTTCTCACATTGGCTCAGATCTCCTTTCTTTGGTATCTTGATGAGATATCCTTCTTTCCAGTCCGTTGGCACTTGTTCCTCTTCCCAAATCTTTTTGAATAGAAGGTGAAGCATGTTTGCAGTTATTTCAATGTCTGACTTCAGTGCTTCTGCTGGTATATTGTCAGGTCCTGCCGCCTTCCCACTTTTGATTTGTCTGATGGCCATCTTGACTTCTTCGATCGTTGGTGGAGTGACATCTATTGGAAGATCAGTGTGGGCTGCTTCGATGTTCGGTGGATTCGATGGGGCTGGTCTATTCAGCAGTTCCTCAAAGTATTCTGCCCATCTTTTCCTCTGTTCCTGAATCTCAGTGATTGTCTTTCCTTCTTTGTCTTTGACTGGTCTCTCTGGTTTGCTATATCTCCCTGCCAATTTCTTCGTTGTATCATATAGTTGTTTCATATTCCCTTCTCTTGCAGCTTTTTCCGCCGTCGTTGCTAGTTCTCCCATGTATTTCTGCTTGTCGGCTTTAATGCTTTTCTTCACTTCTCTGTTTGCTTCTGCGTAGTCTGCTTGTGCTTTGACTTTCTCTGCTCGTGTTCGGCTGTTGTTAATTGCTAGTTTCTTGTTCTTCCTTTCTTGAAGTTTGTCCAGGGTCCCCATAGAGATCCATTCCTTGTGATGGTGCTTCTTAGGACCAAGAACCTCCTGACACGTTGAAGTTAGTGCTTCTTTTATCCCTTTCCAGTTGTCCTCCAAAGTAGTTTCTTGTTCTTTCAGTAGATCCTGTAGAGCTTGGAACCTGTTGTTGAGAGTTATCTTGAATTCATGGAGTTTGTCAGTATCTCGAAGGAAGGCTGTATTAAACCTTTGTAGTGCTGTTTGTCCAGTTGTCCAGTCTTTCTTTAGCTTCAGTCTCATCTTGGCCACAACCAGGTGGTGATCTGAAGCTATGTCAGCTCCTCTCCGGGTTCTCACATCTTCCATTGATCTTCGGAATTTTTTGTTGATACAGATGTGATCAATCTGGTTCTCTGTGGTGTGGTCCGGTGAGATCCATGTAGCTGTGTGTATGCGTTTGTGTGGGAATATTGTGCCGCCTATAACCAATTTGTTGAAAGCACATAGGTTTGCAAGTCTCTCCCCATTTTCATTTCTCTCTCCTAGTCCATGTCGTCCAATTACATCTTCATATCCTGTGTTGTCCACTCCAACTTTAGCATTTAGATCTCCCATAAGGATGGTGAGGTCCTTTCGTGAGCACTTTGCTATAATTGATTGCAGCCTTTCATAGAACTGATCTTTATCATCGTCGTTGCTATCATTGGTGGGTGCGTAACATTGGATAACGTTCATTGTGATCCCCTCCTTCTTTGTTCTGAATGATGCTTTGATTATCCTGGGTCCATGAGATTCCCATCCCACAAGTGCATTTCGTGCTTCTCTGGACAGCATTAGAGCAACTCCCTGAGTGTGTGGCTCATTTTCCCCTTCGTGACCGGAGTACAGCAGCATCTCTCCTGTACCTAGCCTTTGTTGTCCAGTTTGTGTCCAATGGGTTTCGCTGATTCCGAGTACTGCCAAGTTGTATCTCCTCATTTCCATTGCTATTTGGCTGGTCTTTCCTGTTTCCCACATTGTCCGGACGTTCCATGTACCTATAAAGAGTGTTGCTCTGGTTGTTAGAAGGTGCATCGGTCTCGTGACTTCCGAAGAATTTCGGCTTTTCATCATGAGACGTCATAATTCCTTCAACTCCCAGGGCAGAGTTTAAATGGTTTGAATTATTTTTTCTGGTTAGCGTTTTTTTAGCGAGTTAGCTTTTCTACGGGATGGGGTCGCTAACCCCATGCCCAACCCTCCTCCTTTACCCGGGCTTGGGACCGGCAGTAACTCTAGAAGAGCTACAGGCGGAGTTAAAGCAATATAAATCAACGGTTAATAAAAGTACTCAACTGCTTCTCATGTTGGAGTAGTCACAGTCCTCTTGTAGGTGGAGAGGGCGTATGGTGAAATTATTCATCAAAATGCACGGAACTCATGTAACTGAGTGAAAAAAGGAGTATACAATCAGTAGTTGAGGCACGTCAATTAGCAATGACATTTTAACAGATTATACACAACAGTGAGTAGTATGTTGGATTTACTCTGAATAATTTTTTTCAAATAATTGTTTTCATTATCACGACTGTGAAGACCATGACGTTGTAATGAATCATGTCGAAATCTGTCGGGGCATATTTGAGTGAAAGACAGCTCCCTTAAAACCTTTCAGCTGCTTTTCAGTAACACTATCAGATTTGAATTCATTTACGCTTACAGTATTCGTGAAATTGCACCATATAATTTCACATTTGAAACTATCGTATACGTTACTAGTTTTAATGATGACACGTGTTCATGATAGGATCCTGGAAGTATTTGTTTAATCACAAGTGAATGTGTTTTCCTGTAATGTTGACCTCGACGTGTTGATTATCTAACCTTGCTGTGTGTATGTGTTGGAATTCAAATGATCGGATGAAATTTGTGGTTGTCCACTCAGGAACCCATTTCATTTTGCAGAGGCCATTGAAAATTGGTTGAAGTTACACACATACATCGTCGGAATTCAGCCTAGTGCTCTTGTGGTTAGATGCTCGCTTCTGAGACTGAAGGTTGATTATTTGATCTCCAACTGTCAGTCGACCATGAGAGCTATTCACGCATCTCATGTAAAATGGAAGCAGCTGACTGCCTAATCATTATTGCAAATGATAATCGAACAAATAATAATCCTTGGTGTGAACTAACAAATATGTGTTCTCACTTTTCATTCATGTCTGGTTGACCGACATACATTGAAATTATGTAGTGGATAAATGCGATCTCACTCTGATTGCCTATATTTAATATCTCACCAGGGAGGCAGAGATTAGAAGCCGCACGTAAGTCTTTATTTTATTTCATACATTTGAAGTAAATACACATATGCAATTTTATTGGAAATCGCTCCAGAGTTCCACTCGCATTGATCCTTTCCGCATGACTTTGTTTACGAAGGCTCCACAAAGCTGCTTTCTCCACTTGCATTTTTCTTCTCAACTGAGACGTGAAATCAGATTGATGGAACACTGTTCGAATAATTACAAGTTCAAATAAAATCGCGCCATGTATGTGAACAGGGTCAGTTTGCTTCAGCCCATCGTTAATTTTTGTTCTCATCAAGTCTGTAACACTTTCAAGACTACTTCAACATTTATTGGTGCACTGCAATATAGACGATTTCTCAATATACAGTTTGTTTTCAATAATTGATTGGGTGACACCACTTTGTGAGCTCAGAAAAAGTCCTTTCTGATGTTTCGATCGCCCTACCGACTGATATTTCTTTTATAACACAGGAAAGTGAAAAGTGAGTAAAGTTGTTTCATTTTGCCTTAGGAATTCGAAAAGAAGAGGAAGACAGGCTTGCAGAAAACAGTGAGTATTCCGATGATCTTGTTTATTATTCATTCTCATTTAATGTTCAGCTGGTATTCCGATTTGATTACCTAACATCTATACGTGACAAAAATACTTGGAATGTTCTGTATCAAAATGTGTGTCATGGGTCGTTCCGTTCACATGAACGATGACGTCACTAAAGAAGCAAGTAACACTTCTTTTTTGTTGACGTGCTTTTCTGTGAAATGGTGTTCTTAAAAGTGAATGGACTAACTGTATTTGTTCTCAGGAAATTCCTATTTTAAATTGTATAAATTAGTGAGCTCTTACCGTACTTCCACAAGCCATAAATGGTCGATAATATCAATTTGAAATCTGGTGAATTCTTCTCCTCACTAAACAACGTGCCTAACCCTGGAACTGCACGTCGGTTGACTGATAGGCCGACAGCTTGATTGTGTCTTGGTGACCATTTGTTTTTATGGGGTGTGTGAGTTAAACCTTTGAACTTTCTGAACTTTGGTTCTTGTAAAATTCCGTTCATTAATGCTCACGTTCTCAGTAATTGTCACACACGTGTATTCAACTGGACAGCACAGTGCTTTAGTGGGCAGGTTTACTAGTATCTCCATGTTCTTTTCATTGAAAACCGCTTATGTGATTAGCGTGCGGGTTGCTGTTGATCGCTTAAGAAAATTTCGTGATCCACATTACGTTGATGTGATGAACGGATAAATTGACGCCAACCATCTGATATCAATTCAACACACGAGATAACAGTTATTATTTTGAATTCACGAACATTTGTATACCAAACATCCGTCAACTAAAGCAATATACTTACTTACTTACTTACTTACTTACGCCTGTTACCCCTCGTCGAGTAGCATAGGCCGCTCACCAGCATTCTCCATCCAACTCTGTCCTGAGCCTTCCTTTCCAGTTCTTTCCAGTTGCTATTCATCCTTTTCATATCGGCTTCTATTTCCCGGCGTAGTGTGTTCTTTGGCCTTCCTCTTTTCCGCTTCCCTTCCGGATTCCAAGTTAGGGATTGAGTCGTGATGCACATTGGTGATTTCCTTAATGTATGTCCGATCCACTTCCAACGTCTTTTCCTTATTTCCTCTTCAGCTGGAAGCTGGTTTGTCCTCTCCCATAAAACGCTGTTGCTGATAGTATCCGGCCAATGGATGTTGAGTATTTTGCGTAGACAACTGTTTATAAATACTTGTACCTTCCTGATGATGGCCGTAGTAGTTCTCCACGTTTCAGCTCCATACAGTAGGACTGTCTTGACGTTCGTATTAAAGATTCTGACCTTGAAATTGGTTGAGAGTTGTTTTGAGTTCCATATGTTCTGCAATTGTAGAAATGCTGCCCTTGCTTTGCCAATCCTTGCCTTTACATCTGCATCCGATCCTCCTTGTTTATCAACGATGCTCCCCAGGTACTTGAATGTTTCCACCTCTTCCAGAGTTTCGCCATCAAGTGTGATTGGGTCGGTGTTCTCCGTGTTGCATTTGAGAATCTTGCTTTTTCCTTTGTGAATGTGGAGGCCTATCGATGCGGAGGCTGCTGCTACATTTGCTGTCTTCATCTGCATTTGTTCATGTGTATGAGAGAGGAGGGCTAGGTCATCTGCGAAGTCCAAATCATCTAATTGATTCTGAGAAGTCCATTGTATTCCGTATTTCCCTTCAGATGTCGAATTCGTCATAATCCAGTCAATCACTAGAAGGAAGAGAAATGGGGAGAGTAGACAGCCTTGTCTGACTCCGGTCCTTACTGGAAATGCATCTGTCAGCTGTCCTCCATGCACCACTTTGCACTGTAATCCATCGTATGAGTTTTGGATAATGTTGACGATCTTCTGAGGAACTCCATAGTGTCGAAGAAGTTTCCACAATGTTCTCCTATCCACGCTGTCAAACGCCTTCTCATAGTCGATGAAGTTGACGTATAGTGATGAGTTCCACTCAACTGATTGTTCAACGATGATCCGTAGTGTCGCAATCTGGTCTGTGCACGACCGATCCTTACGGAATCCAGCCTGATGATCCCTAAGTTCGGCGTCTACTGCGTCTTTCATCCGATTCAGCAGCACTCTGTTGAAAACTTTTCCTGGTACTGATAACAAACTGATGCCTCTGTAGTTCTCACATTGGCTCAGATCTCCTTTCTTTGGTATCTTGATGAGATATCCTTCTTTCCAGTCCGTTGGCACTTGTTCCTCTTCCCAAATCTTTTTGAATAGAAGGTGAAGCATGTTTGCAGTTATTTCAATGTCTGACTTCAGTGCTTCTGCTGGTATATTGTCAGGTCCTGCCGCCTTCCCACTTTTGATTTGTCTGATGGCCATCTTGACTTCTTCGATCGTTGGTGGAGTGACATCTATTGGAAGATCAGTGTGGGCTGCTTCGATGTTCGGTGGATTCGATGGGGCTGGTCTATTCAGCAGTTCCTCAAAGTATTCTGCCCATCTTTTCCTCTGTTCCTGAATCTCAGTGATTGTCTTTCCTTCTTTGTCTTTGACTGGTCTCTCTGGTTTGCTATATCTCCCTGCCAATTTCTTCGTTGTATCATATAGTTGTTTCATATTCCCTTCTCTTGCAGCTTTTTCCGCCGTCGTTGCTAGTTCTCCCATGTATTTCTGCTTGTCGGCTTTAATGCTTTTCTTCACTTCTCTGTTTGCTTCTGCGTAGTCTGCTTGTGCTTTGACTTTCTCTGCTCGTGTTCGGCTGTTGTTAATTGCTAGTTTCTTGTTCTTCCTTTCTTGAAGTTTGTCCAGGGTCCCCATAGAGATCCATTCCTTGTGATGGTGCTTCTTAGGACCAAGAACCTCCTGACACGTTGAAGTTAGTGCTTCTTTTATCCCTTTCCAGTTGTCCTCCAAAGTAGTTTCTTGTTCTTTCAGTAGATCCTGTAGAGCTTGGAACCTGTTGTTGAGAGTTATCTTGAATTCATGGAGTTTGTCAGTATCTCGAAGGAAGGCTGTATTAAACCTTTGTAGTGCTGTTTGTCCAGTTGTCCAGTCTTTCTTTAGCTTCAGTCTCATCTTGGCCACAACCAGGTGGTGATCTGAAGCTATGTCAGCTCCTCTCCGGGTTCTCACATCTTCCATTGATCTTCGGAATTTTTTGTTGATACAGATGTGATCAATCTGGTTCTCTGTGGTGTGGTCCGGTGAGATCCATGTAGCTGTGTGTATGCGTTTGTGTGGGAATATTGTGCCGCCTATAACCAATTTGTTGAAAGCACATAGGTTTGCAAGTCTCTCCCCATTTTCATTTCTCTCTCCTAGTCCATGTCGTCCAATTACATCTTCATATCCTGTGTTGTCCACTCCAACTTTAGCATTTAGATCTCCCATAAGGATGGTGAGGTCCTTTCGTGAGCACTTTGCTATAATTGATTGCAGCCTTTCATAGAACTGATCTTTATCATCGTCGTTGCTATCATTGGTGGGTGCGTAACATTGGATAACGTTCATTGTGATCCCCTCCTTCTTTGTTCTGAATGATGCTTTGATTATCCTGGGTCCATGAGATTCCCATCCCACAAGTGCATTTCGTGCTTCTCTGGACAGCATTAGAGCAACTCCCTGAGTGTGTGGCTCATTTTCCCCTTCGTGACCGGAGTACAGCAGCATCTCTCCTGTACCTAGCCTTTGTTGTCCAGTTTGTGTCCAATGGGTTTCGCTGATTCCGAGTACTGCCAAGTTGTATCTCCTCATTTCCATTGCTATTTGGCTGGTCTTTCCTGTTTCCCACATTGTCCGGACGTTCCATGTACCTATAAAGAGTGTTGCTCTGGTTGTTAGAAGGTGCATCGGTCTCGTGACTTCCGAAGAATTTCGGCTTTTCATCATGAGACGTCATAATTCCTTCAACTCCCAGGGCAGAGTTTAAATGGTTTGAATTATTTTTTCTGGTTAGCGTTTTTTTAGCGAGTTAGCTTTTCTACGGGATGGGGTCGCTAACCCCATGCCCAACCCTCCTCCTTTACCCGGGCTTGGGACCGGCAGTAACTCTAGAAGAGCTACAGGCGGAGTTAAAGCAATATAAATCAACGGTTAATAAAAGTACTCAACTGCTTCTCATGTTGGAGTAGTCACAGTCCTCTTGTAGGTGGAGAGGGCGTATGGTGAAATTATTCATCAAAATGCACGGAACTCATGTAACTGAGTGAAAAAAGGAGTATACAATCAGTAGTTGAGGCACGTCAATTAGCAATGACATTTTAACAGATTATACACAACAGTGAGTAGTATGTTGGATTTACTCTGAATAATTTTTTTCAAATAATTGTTTTCATTATCACGACTGTGAAGACCATGACGTTGTAATGAATCATGTCGAAATCTGTCGGGGCATATTTGAGTGAAAGACAGCTCCCTTAAAACCTTTCAGCTGCTTTTCAGTAACACTATCAGATTTGAATTCATTTACGCTTACAGTATTCGTGAAATTGCACCATATAATTTCACATTTGAAACTATCGTATACGTTACTAGTTTTAATGATGACACGTGTTCATGATAGGATCCTGGAAGTATTTGTTTAATCACAAGTGAATGTGTTTTCCTGTAATGTTGACCTCGACGTGTTGATTATCTAACCTTGCTGTGTGTATGTGTTGGAATTCAAATGATCGGATGAAATTTGTGGTTGTCCACTCAGGAACCCATTTCATTTTGCAGAGGCCATTGAAAATTGGTTGAAGTTACACACATACATCGTCGGAATTCAGCCTAGTGCTCTTGTGGTTAGATGCTCGCTTCTGAGACTGAAGGTTGATTATTTGATCTCCAACTGTCAGTCGACCATGAGAGCTATTCACGCATCTCATGTAAAATGGAAGCAGCTGACTGCCTAATCATTATTGCAAATGATAATCGAACAAATAATAATCCTTGGTGTGAACTAACAAATATGTGTTCTCACTTTTCATTCATGTCTGGTTGACCGACATACATTGAAATTATGTAGTGGATAAATGCGATCTCACTCTGATTGCCTATATTTAATATCTCACCAGGGAGGCAGAGATTAGAAGCCGCACGTAAGTCTTTATTTTATTTCATACATTTGAAGTAAATACACATATGCAATTTTATTGGAAATCGCTCCAGAGTTCCACTCGCATTGATCCTTTCCGCATGACTTTGTTTACGAAGGCTCCACAAAGCTGCTTTCTCCACTTGCATTTTTCTTCTCAACTGAGACGTGAAATCAGATTGATGGAACACTGTTCGAATAATTACAAGTTCAAATAAAATCGCGCCATGTATGTGAACAGGGTCAGTTTGCTTCAGCCCATCGTTAATTTTTGTTCTCATCAAGTCTGTAACACTTTCAAGACTACTTCAACATTTATTGGTGCACTGCAATATAGACGATTTCTCAATATACAGTTTGTTTTCAATAATTGATTGGGTGACACCACTTTGTGAGCTCAGAAAAAGTCCTTTCTGATGTTTCGATCGCCCTACCGACTGATATTTCTTTTATAACACAGGAAAGTGAAAAGTGAGTAAAGTTGTTTCATTTTGCCTTAGGAATTCGAAAAGAAGAGGAAGACAGGCTTGCAGAAAACAGTGAGTATTCCGATGATCTTGTTTATTATTCATTCTCATTTAATGTTCAGCTGGTATTCCGATTTGATTACCTAACATCTATACGTGACAAAAATACTTGGAATGTTCTGTATCAAAATGTGTGTCATGGGTCGTTCCGTTCACATGAACGATGACGTCACTAAAGAAGCAAGTAACACTGCTTTTTTGTTGACGTGCTTTTCTGTGAAATGGTGTTCTTAAAAGTGAATGGACTAACTGTATTTGTTCTCAGGAAATTCCTATTTTAAATTGTATAAATTAGTGAGCTCTTACCGTACTTCCACAAGCCATAAATGGTCGATAATATCAATTTGAAATCTGGTGAATTCTTCTCCTCACTAAACAACGTGCCTAACCCTGGAACTGCACGTCGGTTGACTGATAGGCCGACAGCTTGATTGTGTCTTGGTGACCATTTGTTTTTATGGGGTGTGTGAGTTAAACCTTTGAACTTTCTGAACTTTGGTTCTTGTAAAATTCCGTTCATTAATGCTCACGTTCTCAGTAATTGTCACACACGTGTATTCAACTGGACAGCACAGTGCTTTAGTGGGCAGGTTTACTAGTATCTCCATGTTCTTTTCATTGAAAACCGCTTATGTGATTAGCGTGCGGGTTGCTGTTGATCGCTTAAGAAAATTTCGTGATCCACATTACGTTGATGTGATGAACGGATAAATTGACGCCAACCATCTGATATCAATTCAACACACGAGATAACAGTTATTATTTTGAATTCACGAACATTTGTATACCAAACATCCGTCAACTAAAGCAATATAAATCAACGTTTAATGAAAGTACTCAACTGCTTCTCATGTTGGAGTAGCCACAGTCCTCTTGTAGGTGGAGAGGGCGTATGGTGAAATTATTCATCAAAATGCACGGAACTCATGTAACTGAGTGAAAAAAGGAGTATACAATCAGTAGTTGAGGCACGTCAATTAGCAATGACATTTTAACAGATTATACACAACAGTGAGTAGTATGTTGGATTTACTCTGAATAATTTTTTTCAAATAATTGTTTTCATTATCACGACTGTGAAGACCATGACGTTGTAATGAATCATGTCGAAATCTGTCGGGGCATATTTGAGTGAAAGACAGCTCCCTTAAAACCTTTCAGCTGCTTTTCAGTAACACTATCAGATTTGAATTCATTTACGCTTACAGTATTCGTGAAATTGCACCATATAATTTCACATTTGAAACTATCGTATACGTTACTAGTTTTAATGATGACACGTGTTCATGATAGGATCCTGGAAGTATTTGTTTAATCACAAGTGAATGTGTTTTCCTGTAATGTTGACCTCGACGTGTTGATTATCTAACCTTGCTGTGTGTATGTGTTGGAATTCAAATGATCGGATGAAATTTGTGGTTGTC